AGAGCATTACCATTACCTCCCTCCCTCCCAACCTTCAAGGGCCCCTTCCTTTGCCTCTATAACTAGTTTCCTCAGCCTGTTTCTTCTACTAATTACTACTACATCTGTGACTTTCTAAATAGGTGTTCTCTTATAGTTGGAGTCTTGGCTCTGAATTCTTTCCTAGCCAGAACTCAAGTACTGAGGTTGCTGAAGCCAGGTCCAGTCTGACCCCACCAGTCTAACACCTGGTGCCCTTCTAGCCACCTACAACAGGACCTCTGTCAGACTATCAAATTCCCAAAATATTTTTAAGCTGAGTATTTGGTAAATGTTGAAAAGAAGAATGAATAAAATCAGATGACTGAAGTGTTGATACTGTGGCTGAATTGGGAAATCAAAAATTATACAATGCTGGCAAGTAAAACAATTATTCTATATTCTCTGACAGTATTCAGCAGTAGATAAAAGAGGCTGTGTTATAGCAGGACACTGACTGAGAATGTGGAACTGGGATCCTGTCCCTCCTCTCTTACCCAACACTCCACAAAAATCATCATCATCATTGTCATCATCTCTGGTTCCTTCGGACTTTTGATCCTTTCACCTCTTTCCTCAAACATTTTCTTTATTTATAAAATCAGGTCCTAAATATAAGTTTGAACTTCAGGCAAAACCTTTTGCAGCCTAATAATTTGTACTATCAGGGCTTTCGTTTTTTTAATAAGAGAAAGTTGATTTACAAAGTTACAGAGGCAAAAGAAGGGCCCTTGGAGCTTAGGAGAAAGATAAAGGTAATGCGCCTGGAGTAAACAAGATGGGAAGGGGAAAGGCCTGGGTGTGCTCCGAGGAGGAAGAGCTTGCTGCACTATCCGGTCTGATCTCACTAATTCTTCTGGAAAACTCCCTTTGCCACTCTCCTGAGGACACATGCACACATGCTCTCTCTTCCACTCTCAAGGGCTCATTTGCCAAGATGCTTTTGTCACCTGTTGGAACTTGAGATTTAAAAGGGTCTCTGTGATATAAAACTGAAACTTGTGGAAACAAACAGCAGTGTGGTGATTGCCAGAGGAAAGGGGGTGGGGAGTGAAGGGGGTCTTAATATATGATGATGGGAAAAGATATGACTGGGTGGTGGGCACACAGAGCAATATGCAGATCATACAGATCTTGTAACATAGAAACCCACACCTGAAACTTCTATGTTCATATTAACCATTACCACCCCAATAAATTTAATTTAAAAAACAAAAACAAAACGGGCCCCTGAGATTTTAAAAAGGACACACAGCAGTAAGAAAGAGAATTCGCTCACATCTTTCTGGGGAAAAACAATGGGAAGATGGGGATCCTGTATCCCTGAGCTGGAAGCTTGGCCTGGATCTGTGGCTCTCTTTCTTTTTTTCTTTTTTAATCCTCACCACAAGAGGATTGATTTTTTTTTTTTTAAGAGCGAGAGGAAGGGAGAGAGAGAGAGAGAAAAAACAAAATAAAACATTGATGTGAGAGAGAAACATCTATCCGTTACCTCCCATATGCACCCCACTGGCAGATCGAACCCACAACTTGGGTATGTGCCCTGACTGGGAATCAAACCTGCAACCTTTCAGTGCAAAAGACGATGCTGCAACCAGCTGAGCCACCCAGCCAGAGCTTTTTTTTTTTTTAATTGGATCTCTGTATCTCTTATCATTTACTTGAATCTCTAGGTCTCTGATCACTGTGCAAAGCTGAAGTGTTTCTGCCTTCTGTGGCCATCATAAAGGCTTGGGAAGAATTCAGAATCATTTCCTGTTGGGAATTACAACCCTAATATAGGAGGGGGGAAATTCTTACTTAAAATATTCTCACAACAAAATCAGAATTTTCCTTTTGGTGTTTCCAAATTTCACTCTAACTTTTACTATAAATTGAATAAAGATTTGCTTAGAATTTCCTAAAAAAGAAAAAAGAGAGAGAGGCTATTAACCCACACAAATCAAGGTCAAGGTCAAGAAAGAACTGACAGAGGAAGGGTGTTGTTAAAAGTAAAACTAAAATAACCTACTTTGGGAACTGAGTATAAAAGGAGGAGATGGCCTGGCGGGCATGGCTCTGAAGTTGAGCATCAGCCTATGATCCAGGAGATCGAGGTTAGATTCCCGGTGGAGGCACATGCCTGGGTTTCGGGCTCAATCCCCAGTGGGGGGGCGTGCAGGAGACAGCTGATCAATGACTATCTCATCACTGATGTTTCTATCTCTCTTTCCCTCTTCCTTCCTCTCTCTCTGAAGTCAAGAAAGACAATAAAAAATAAAAATAAAAAGAGGAGGAGATGCAGCCAAGAGACTTAAATTAATGCACTAGGAAAACAGGGTGATACTGAGTCCACAGGTGGGAGAGCACATGCCTCAGAACTCAAGTAGCAGAAGACAAGACGTTACAATGAAAACAGAAGAGTTTCAGAGTTCAAGACATATTTCACCTACTTCCATTCACAATCGGAAATAATTACATATATATACATGAATACCGATGATTAGAATGGTCTACCTATCACAAGGTACCTGAACCAAAGTAAAATCTGAATAAGAGGTAACTGCTGTAAATTGCTGGAGAAANTATATATATATATATACATATATATATGAATACCGATGATTAGAATGGTCTACCTATCACAAGGTACCTGAACCAAAGTAAAATCTGAATAAGAGGTAACTGCTGTAAATTGCTGGAGAAAATCCAAATTACTTATTATATTTTCCTAAAATTAACTATAAATTCATAATATAAATATAAAATAAATATAAATATAAAATAAATATAAATATAAAATAAAATTTATTCCTATAAATAGCATATAGCTCATCTGATATTTTTAGATTATTCAATCAGCTGTTCTCTTCCTTAATGATAAATTAAAATTAATTTGACAGATATTATACACACAAATATATAGCCAAATGTACTCAGAGTTAAACAAAATTATATTTTGTTCTGAAGCACTATAGTTTATATAATTTTTTTTCCTACATCTGAGTAATTTCTACACTGCCCTTATAACTCATATTGGCCACAATGAGATTAACCACAAATCTAAAGAAGGCAGATTACTTATAAAATAGATTTCCCCATCTTAATGCAGACTCAACAGAGCAATAGGACAATATAAAATAAGACATTGGATTTTCAGTACTCATACATAATGGGAAAGATTAAAGCATGTAACAGTGAAATTTGGTCTTGGCACCATATAACTCATTATACATTCAGTTTATCAACTGGATTCTTTTGCAAAACATCTGAAACCTAAATGCAAATTTTAACAGCTCCAATCAGCAACTACATTAACTACAGTGTGCCAATAAATAATAAAATGACACTTAATGCAATGTTCTTACCTGTCTCAACAGTTTCTCAATGGCTGACATTACCATAAGGCCTCTCCAAACAACTGGTGCAGTCTCTTCAACAAGGAAGCCCATAGACATACTACAACAAAAAACAGAAAACACAACTAATTTACATAAATTAATCAACAGTATTCTAAAAAGCAATATAAAGTAAAAAAGATATACTCACCAAGCAATACCATAATTCAAAAGAGGCCTCATTAGGTTGCCTGAAAAAAAAAAAAAAATCTCTTTTAGAACAGTCATCATATTCAAACATACTGACTTGTTTTCTCATCAAAGAGTGTCAAACTGAAAATACAAACTGACTACTCCTACTGCTGCTCTTTTAACCGCCAACTAATTCACCTCAGTTTACAACAGTTCAAACATTTACCAAGCATAAAACTAATAATTCCAATAGAGGTAACATCTAAAAATATAGGGTGTCCCAAAAAAATGTATACACACACTTTGAATAATTATAAAGGCAGTGTATTAAAATACATTTCATTTTATTTTTATTTTTTAAATATGTCTTTATTAATTTCTGAGAAAGGAAGGGAGAGGGGGAGAGAGATACAGAAACATCAATGATGAGAGAGTCATTGATTGGCTTCCTCCTGCACGCCCCCTGTTGGGGATCAAGCCCAAAACCCCAGCATGTGCCCTGACCAGGAATCAAACCTCGATCTCCTAGATCATAGGTCGATGCTCAACTGCTAAGCCACACTGGCAGGGCAAAATACATTTCATTTTTAAAATTGAGCTATCAGCTGTTAAAGTGTGTATACATTTTTTTGGAACACCCTGTAGTTGAGATATTGTATTATTAAGACCAATTCATTTACCATTTTCAAATATGTTTTTAAATATAGCATCAATAAGTAATGTCCATCAATTTTCTTCATATATATAGATATGTAAATTACATATATATGCTTATCTAGGATGTGTATACATGAATGCTTGCATACGTGCACACACAAACACATCTAATCAGTTCTCCCTATTTTTTTTACTTGAAGAATTTTAAAAGTATATAAACCCAAAAAAGTAGAAAAACTCTATTTTGTACCTCAACATAATAAAAGCCATAAATGAAAAACCCACAATAAGCATCACACGCAATGGTAAAAGACAGAGTTTTTCCTCTAAGAACAAGAAAAAGACAAGAATGCCCCCTTCTGCCACTTCTATTCAACATAATATTGAAATTTATAGCCAAAGAAATTAGGCAAGAAAAATAAATAAATGAGATCCAAACTGAAAAGGAAGAAGTCAAGTTCTCTCTGATCACAGATGATTTAATCTTATATATAGAAAACCCTGAATATTCCACACAAAAAACTTTTAAAGCTAATAACTGAATTTGGCAAAGTAGCGGGATACAAAGTCCACACACAAAAATCAATTGCATTTCTATACACCAATAATGAACAATCTGAAATGGAAATTATGAAAACAATTCCATTTATAAGAGCATCAGAAAAATAAAATATTAAAGAATTAACATAACCAATGAGGTAAAAATTCTTTGAAATGTACAATGAAAACTATAAAACATTGTTGAAACAAATTAAAGAAGACAGAACAAAAGAAAACACATATCATGATCATTGACTGGGATATTTAATATTGTTAAGATGTTAATACTACCCAAAGCAATCTACACAGTCAATGCCATCTCTATCAAAATCCCATGACATTTTTTACAAAAATAGAAAAATCTATCCTGAAATTCATATGGAAAACCAAGGCATCCCAAATAGGCAAATCAGTTTTGGAAAAAGAAGAATAAAAGTGAAAGACACACTTCCTGAGTTTAAAACTTACTACAAAGCTACAGTAATCAAAACAGTGTGGTACTGGCACAAAGGCAGACATATAGACCAACAGAACAGAATAGAAAACTCAGAAATAAACCCTAGCATACAGGGTGGGACAAAAGTAGATATTAGTATGCAAAACACAATTTATTCTTGTTATTTATTAATTATTGTATTATTTTCCATACAAACTGTAAACCTATTTTTGCCCTACCTTGTATAGTCAAAGGGTCAAAGGATTTTTTACTTGGGGGTGAGGGGGGGAGATCACTCAATGTGGAAAGGACCCTGTTTTCAAATGGTTCTGGGAAAACTTGATCCACATGCAAAAGAATGAAGTACCATACACACACAAAATTAACTTAAAATTAACTTAAAAACATAAGTATAAGAGCTAAAATTATATAACTCTTAGAAGAAAATAGGGCAAAAGCTTCATGTCATTATGCTTGGCAATGATTTCTTAGATGTGAAACCAAAGGCACAAGCAGCAAAAGAAACAATAAACAAATTGGACTTCATGAAAATTTTAAAAATTTTGTGTAACTGAAAGACAATATCAACAGAGTGAAAAGGCAAGCGACAGAATGGGAGAAAATGTTTGCCGATCATATATTTTGTAAAAATAAATAGAGAACTCCTAAAACTCAACAAAGACAATCCAAAAAAGGCAAAGAAAGTGAACAGACATTCCTCCAAAGAAGATATACAAATGACCAATAAGCACATGAAAAAAATGTTCAACGTTACTGATCATTAGAGAAAATGCGAATCAAAGTTTCGAGATACTATCTCACACCTATTAGGGTGACTACCATAAAACACACACACACACACACACACACACACACACACGAAAAAACAGAAAATAACAAGTGAGGTGAGAACAAGGAGAAATTGGAACCTGTGCACTGTATGGTTCCACTTACATGCAGTACTTAGACTACTAGTCAAAATCAAATGAACAGAAAGTAAAATGGGGAGTTGCCAAGCGCAGGGAGAAGTGGCAATGAGCAGTTACCATTTAATGGGTACAAAGTTTCAGTTTCACAAGGTAAAAAGAACTATGTAGATGAATGGTGGTGATAGTTGCACAACATTCTGAATGTATTTATTACCACTCAACTTACCGCTTCTCGGCCTTCTGGCTAAGATCAAGTGTATTACCACTCAACTGTATACGTAAAAATGTTTAAAATGGTAACTTTTATGTTATGCGTATTTCATCACAATAAAATAAAAAATGTGAAAGAGAGAAGCAGACCAACAGAACAGATCCAAGAGCCCAGAAATAAGCCCAAGCATATGCAGTCAACTGGTATTCGAAAATACCAGTTGAGAATACTCAATAGAGAAAAGACAGTCTCCTGTCTAGCACTGGGATAACGGAATATTCACATGCAAAAGAATGAAACTGGACCCACATCTTACACCACTCACACACAGTTACTCAAAACAGATTAAAGACTTACAGGTAAAACCCAAAACCATGAAACTCCTAGAAAACAACACAGGAATAAAGCTCCATGACATGAGTCTTGGTTAAGATTTTTTGGGTATGACACTTAAAGCATATGCAACAAGATAAACAAGTGGGACTATATCAAACTAAAAAGCTGAAAAATTGCATTTTCTACCTCTTTATTGCTGGTGCATTAAAATTTCATTCTCAAATATTAATTTTATAATTAGCCATCTTGCTAAATTCCTTGATTCATTTTAATAATCTGTCAAAAATGTTTAAATTTCCCGTGCAAATTATATTTTCTGTAAATAATGACAGTTTGATTTTTTTTATTCAACTCCTTATTCATGAGAGTTAGTACATAATTGGATTTATTTTGCAGGCTAGGAGTGCCTGCGTGATGTTAAATAGAAGTTGCGACACCAGGCCTCCTTGCCTTATTCCTTCTAGAGCTCTATGTTTTACCTTCTGATGCTATCCTAAATGTCCCTCAAATTTTCATTTTTTCCAACTTTTCTTTATGTACTATATTTTGGGTATTTTATTTTCATCTACATTCCAGTTAACTTCCTCTGTAGTTTTGTCTAATGTTTTGTTATTTTATGTCCATTTCTTTCCACTCTACCCAGAAACAAGGACAATTCCAGCACATATCCCCAAAAACTACCAATGTAAGGAAGATTTATTAAGGATGTCAACCTTTGGGTGTCCCAGCTTTTACATGGTGATGAGCCATTGAATTTTCTTTCCTCCTTTGGCACCAAACTTGGTCTCCATTCCTTCATACACAGACCTATAAAATATAGGCCCTAAGCCACCGACGAACAACAGGTAATATCTGGATAAACTTCAATTTCAGTTCACACCTACACCAATTAGCTCACGTGTTCTTGTTATGTCTACATTCTAAGAAATTCCCTTCCTTTCCTACTACCTCAATTATGCATTGAAAAATAATTTTTGTCGCTATTTTTTTATTTTGAGAGTACATTTATTAGAGCTGGGGTCAGTGAAACAAAAGAAGGGCTTAGGGTACAAAAAGCAACAGGAGAGAGCCTAGGCAGTGCTCTGCTTTGGCTCTCTACAAATGTTATCGGAAAGAAGTGAGGCAAGGCAGGGCTGCTGTTAGCTCACTGAAAAATCCAGGATAGAAGAAGCAACAGGAGACAGCCTAGGCGGTGCTCTGTTTTGGCTCTCTAAAAACATTATAGGAAAAAAGTGAGCCACGGTGGACTGCTGTTAGCTCACTGAAAAGTTAGAAAGAAGGGGCCCTCAGAGACAGGTTCAGGGGGTAAGCCAGGATGAGCGGCTGCTGCCTGTTGCTTCTCTGGCTGCAAGTCTCGTGGGGACCCTTAGAGTTTAGGGGAGAAAAGTAAAGATGGACACCTGAGAGGGAAAGAAGGTGTGGGCATGCTCCAGAGACCCTGCCTGTTAATGTTTTATGTAATATTTTAAGGTATGCTGTTAGAGAAGAGTTTTTCTGAACATCTAGTCTGCCACACGTGCAGCCAGAATAAGAAACAGAAAGCTGATTTTTAGAGAGTGATCTTATATCCCCCAAGATATCTTCCAAAACTCTATTTTTCAAATAGTTTTTTGACTATTTCTTTTGAATTTTCTAGGTAGATAAGCATATACATGGAATTATGACAATTTTGCCTTTTCCTTTCCACTATTAATAACCATTACTTTTTTTCTTGTTTCAGTGCATTGGCGAAAACCTGCAGTAGCAATGGCAGCTACATCTTGTTTTTACCGTAGCATGGAAAAGGTTACACCAAAATAAAGTAGGAGAGTACGGCGTAATCCATTGACTTGGTCCTCCCTTTGAAGTAGATGATCTAAGTAGTTTGTGGGAAATATGGCTTGAGCCCTGGCCGGGTGGCTTAGCTGGTTGAAGAGTCATCCGGGACACCAAAAGGCTGCATGTTCAATT